CACCGCCACCTCCCCCCGCGCCCCGGCCCCGATGCGGATCCCACCCCCCGACTTCTCCCTGAGACCCCCGCGGGCGCGCTCAGGGTGCGTGAGCGGGCCCGCGCGTCCCCGCGCCCCCCCGCGGGCCGCGCCGCGCACGCACTTACCGCGGGCCGCCGCTCCCGCCGCCCGGGTCCGCATGGCCGGGGCCCCCGCGCTGGGGCCGCCTGGGGAGGGCGCAGCCCCCGCGCCCGCCGCCGCCGCTGCCTCTGCTGCCGCCCCGCGCCGCCCGCTCCGCATTGGGCTCCGACCCCGCCCGGCCCGGCTCTGGCTCCGGCTCCTGGGCCCGGGCCCCGAGGGAGGGACTCCCGCACCGAGGAGGGAGCGCAGCCCCGGCCGCCGCCGCCGCCGCCCCTGCTGCCCGGCCGTCCTCCCGCTCTCCGCTCCGGATGCCGGTCTTGGTCCTCCGGCAGCCGCGGCCGCCCCGCCCCGCAGCGCCCCCTGGCCGGGGCTCGGGCTACGGCGCCCGGACTGACTGCGGCGGCCGCCGACGGGGGCGGGGCGGCCGCGGGGGAGGGAGGCGGGGGGAGGGGTGGGGGGGCGGAGGGAGCCCGAGCCGGGGCCTGCCGGACTCCGCCTCGGCTTAGAGCTGCCGCCGCCGCAGCAGCAGCCGCCCGCCGCCGCTGTCAACTCCGCCGGCCCGCACGGGCATGACTTAGAGGGCGGGCCCGAGGCCCAGCTCTGACCACTTGACGGGATGGGGCCGGAGACAGGCTCCTAGCCCAGACTGTCCCTCAGGGGCAAGACGAGCAAGGGCATTGGAATGGAAACCTGCTCTGAGGGGGCCAGGCGCGAGGCAGGCTCCTAGCCCCGCCCCCAAGGAGAAGAGGGGCACGGGGCCGTCCCCTAGCCCCGCCCAGAGAGATAGGTGAGTGGAGGGGGCCTGAGGCAGGATCTTAGCTCCGCCCCCCAGATAGGCACGAGGCAGTCCCCCCCTAGTCCCGCCCCCAGGGAGATAGTCGCGAGGTGAGGGGCACGAGGCAGGCTCTTAGCTCCGCCCCCAGACTGAAGAGGGACGCGGGGCAGGTTCCTAGCCCAGCATCAGAACTGCCCTGCCTGTGAGGGGCTTGGTGGCAGGAGAGGGAAGGCTATTGGCCATGGGCCCCAGCTGAGAGCGCTGTCCCTCCATCTGAGGGGGACAGGCTTGCTCCTTAACTCTTGCACACTCTCACCGTGAAGCCCCCTCCTAGGCACTGAAAATAGAACATGTAACTGCAACCGTCCTTACCTTCAAGAAGCTTCCGTTCCTAGTGGAAGGACAACTTCAGACACCCATGCACGTGGGTACCAGGGACAGGACGGATGAGACACACACGTACCAACAGCCAATGCAAGATAATGCCCCAGGGCATGGAATGGGGGCCGGGGGCTTCTGGAGGAGGAGCAGGTGTTTTGAACTGAGTTTTGAAGGAAGCTAGAGAGTCTTTATTTTAAAAATAAGTTTTTATTGATGTCTTCTGTTTTTACATCATCATAGTTAGTCCCAACATCCTTCCCCTCCCAGAGAGCCATCCAAAAAAACATAATATTTTTTTTAGAAGTGGGGGGATTGGCACCACTGATCAATACATTGAAAAATTCCTAAAACATGTGCAATGTATAATACCTGTGGACCTCCCACCCTCTTGAAGAGAAGGGTCAGGAGTGTCTTCTCTGATCCCTTCATTGGAGTCTGGAAGCTGGAGATTCCAAGAAGAGGAAACTGAGGTCCAGAGTCATTAAGTGATTCCCCCAAGCTATTAAGTGGCGGAACCAGGGTTCAAACTCTGCAGCAAAGATTGATGAAGTGCCTACTGTGTGCTAGGCACTGAACTAAGTATGCTACAGCCAAAGATGAGAGATCAATCCTTGCTTATGTAGGACTTTATGTAATGATAATGTGACTGGTCCTCAGCACTTTAAAGTTGGCAAAGCACCACCAGACATTTCACTTCAGCTCCACAACAACCCAGTGGAATAGGAAGTACAGCTGTTACTATCCCCATTTTACGGATGAGCAAACAGGTTCAGAGAGTTGAAGGGACTTGCCCATGGTTGGATGGCTAGCAAGTGTCAGAGGTGGAAAAGAAAGCCTAGTCTTCAGGACTCCAAGGCATGCACTGTTGCCACTATACAAGAGACTGCCTCTACAAAACTGTCTCTTTGGAGACTCATAATCCCAAGAGGCTGGTACTCCAGCTATTATTTTGCCCATTTAACAGATGAGGAAACTGAGGAGTCTAGTTCAGGATCACACAGCTAGTCAGAGTCCAGAGCAGGGCTCCAACCACTACATTACATGGCCTCTCAAAGATCTTTTTTCATTTTTTAATATAATGACAGACACTGCAGGGCATAACATCAATGGACCTCAATGTATTTAAAAAAAAAAAAAGGAGGGGGGATACTAATGTTACAGTGCTTGCCTTGAAAGGTTGTTCTGAACATGAAATAGTAGGTATAATGGATGTGTAGCGCTTTGTAACCCCATAAAACAAACAAACCATAAAATTCTTGCCACACCAGGTAGTAGATAAAAGAAACAACCTTTGAGCTCAAATGCACCCAAACAAAGAAAAGCTTCCTAAGAATTGGAGCTATCCCAGAGCAAAATGGACTTCCTCCAGAGGTAGTGGATTTCCCCTCCCTAGGCCTCCAGACCATGGCTAGATGACCACTTCTTGGAAACACTGAGGCAGACAGGTAAAGACTGAGCTAGATGACAGTTGAGACCCCTGCCTGCACTCCAAAATTAGAGGGAGGGAGGTCCTAGAAATCTACAGTCGTCTGGGCAATAGGAACCATCTCCAACGTGACTCGAAAGCTTCTCCTTTTCCCCCTTCAGTTCATGGCATTAGTCTCTTTATTTTCTTGCTGAGGGTTAGACTTGTCTAAACATTCAAGTCAGAGCAAACAACAGCCACAGCAACTACTTGTATCTCAGTGGGGATGCAGACATTCTCTTCAAAGACCTCTTGTCCCGATGGCCCAATCCCTAAGGTATCCAGATCACGCCTCTAGCTTACCTCTGCAGTTTTGCTTAGACCCAAGATTATAGATCTATGTGCACCATCGTGAAGAAAATAAAAATTGGCTGCATCAGTCCCCAGCATTCCTGGACCTTCACAAAAAATTACCTTGGATTTATTTTAAATGTATTTATCAGTAAGTATACACATTCTGTCCTTGGCTGACATGTTAGCTTCTCAAGGGCAGAGGACAGACTGTTTCATGAAAGAGACTTGAAAGTAGAGGCAGTAACTCAGCAGCTGACTGGGGATGGAGAGAGTGGGGAAAATGAAGAGTCAAGGATGACTCCAAGGTGTCCACCCTCAGTGACTTCCGCCCACTATGCTTGGTTCTTCCTGCCAAGGCTGAGGAAAACAATCCCTCTCCCCCATTCCAGTGCTGCAGATGTTTGGAGACAACACCATGTCCCTCCTAAGTCTTCCCTTCTGCAGGCTAAACATCCCCAGTTCTTCCAACCATACTTCATTTGACACACACTCAAAACTCCTTCACTGTCCTTATTGCCCTCCTCTGGACACTCTCCAGCTGATCATTACCCTTCCTAAAATGTGGTGCCCAGAACTTCCACATGTGGTCTGACTCTGCTCTTCTTAATATAGCCTAAAGTCATCCTGGTATTGTCTCAGTTCCTGTTGTCTCTTAATGAATATACAATTCACTGGGATGCTCAGATCCTTTCAGATAAATTATTATGGGGCCACACTTCTCCCAACCTTAGACTTGGGAAGTTTGTTTGTTTTTGTTTTTCCAAGTCAAGTCAATAAGCATTCATTAAGCACTTTTTGTTGTTCAGTTGTTTCAGGCCTGTCTGACTCGGTGACCCCATTTGGGGTTTTCTTGACAAAGATACTGGAATGGTTTGCCATTTCCTTCTCCAGCTTGTTTTACAGATGAGGAAACTGAGGCAAATAAGGTAAAGTGATTTGCTTAGAGTCACACAGCTAGTAAACATCTGAGGCTGGATTTGAACTTAGGAAAATGAGTCTTCCTGACTCCAGGCCCCAAACTCTATCCACTTCACCACCTAGCACTAACATTCCAGGTATTATGCTGAGCACTGGGAATATTAAAAAAAAAAAAAAGGCAAGAAACAGTCTACATTCTCAAGAAGCTCACAGTTTAATGGGGGAGATTACATGCAAACAACTATATACAAACAAGAAGGATACAGGGTAAATCGGAGATAACCTCAGAGGGAAAGCATTAGTATTAAAGAGGACTAGGAAAGACTTCTCACAGAAGTTAATTTTCATCTTATTAAGTTTGGGCCAGTATAACTGGTATAACCCAGTATAGCCAGTCTAACCTCTAGGGATCTTTTTGGCTCCCGACTGTATCATCCAGCAAGCTCTCTATCGCACCTAGATTTGTGTCATTGGCAACTTTGATCAATATGCCTTTCTCCAAGTCAAAGATAAAAATGTCAAACCAGTCAAGGCCAAGGTTCCATGAAAGACTCCTTCCCAGTTGGTATTGAGCCATTAATAGTCATTAATGGACTCTTTGGACCCAGTCACCCAACTAGTTCCAAATCCATCTAACTGTATTATCATCCTTATCTAGCCCACATCTCTCCCCCTCGTCCACACAAATGGCATGAGAGACATTGTCCAACAATTGGCTAAAATCTAGGCCAACAATGCCTCCAGCACTCTCCCAGTACAGCACACTAGTTAACCTGATAGAAAGAATAAAATTAGTACAGCATGACCTGGCTTAATAAAGCCATCTTGGCCCTTTATAATTGCCATTCCTTACATAGTCCATAACCATTTCTCTAATAATATGATCTAGAATTTTACCAGGACTGCAAGTCAAGCTTACGGGCTGATAGTTAACCAACTCCATTCTCTTTCTTATTTTTAAAATGGAAATGTTTGCCATTCTCCTATCTTACTACACATACCAATACCATACAGAGGTGTTCATTGGGCCAGTTGGCTGAAACTCACCAAGGGTAGTTGTCTTCCAATTTCATTTCCTTGGGTATTAACTCCCTGTTAGCCATTTGTAGCCTTCCCAGTCCATAGATGATTCTCCTGGGCAGAGTAGACAAACAATATAAGAGCCATTTAAGTTTAAGTGACTTGAATTGAAGTTCCTCTGAGACAATCACAGCTCAGACCCTGACTGAGCCATCGGGCAAATGATGCCCTTCCAAGCCTCAATTTCCTCATCTGTAAAATGGGGATAATAATAGTAGTAGGGTTGTTATGAACATCACACAAGACCATGAATAGCATGTGCCTTAAGCACTCTAAAAACACAAGCTGTTATTAAATGAAAAGCACTGGATTTGGAGTCTGAAGGCCTGGGTTCAACTCCCAACCCTACAATCATAAACCATGTGACTTTGGGCCTCAGTTTCCCCATCTGTTCAATGATTATAATTATAAAAGCACCTTAAGGTATGCAAAATGCTTGACAAATATTATTTCATGTGATCCTTACAACACCTCTGTGAGGTAGGTACTATTATCAGCTCCATTTTACAGATGGGGAAACTGAGCTTGAGAAAAGCTAAGTAACTTGCCATGGTCATACAGCCAGCAAGTGTCTAAGGCAGGATTTGAACTGAGGTCTTCCTGCCTAGAAGTCTAGGGCACTATCCACTGTGCCACCCAGCTGCCTCAGTAAGGTAACCTGGCATTTCCTTTCTAGATCAACAAAGATACTCCCATACCTTGAACTTCCCTTCATAAATTCCTGAGGGACACATTGAAAATCATTAGGTTCATTTTATAACTAAAGAAACTGAGGCACAGAGGGGAGAAATAATTAATTTTCTCCTGGGGCCATAGGTATGAGGAAGAGCTGGAAGTAGACCTGAAGGCCCCTTCAATCCCCCTCTGTTGCATCATTTATAGAGCTGCGAGAGCATCTCCCCATGAGGGAAGAGAAGCCCACAAAGACATCGGTGCACAGGGTTGACAGGCCGGGTCAGTCGAGAGAGCTTCCATTGGCCCTCCGGTTCCCGGGCCCAGATGCCAACTGCAGGAGGAAATGTGCGCTGACCTCTGAATAATCAGGATGTCAAGGGAGCGGTGCTATGCTCCAAGGGCAGGTGAGTCATCTGTTCCGAGGACTAGATGAGGCAGGGCCAAACAAGCTCTCTCTAGTCAGGAGGGATCTGGGTTTGAATCTTGCCTTGGAGACGTCTTTCCTATATGACCTGGGACAAGTCACTGAGCCTCAGTTTTGTGAATCTGTAAAATGGGAACAGCATTGGGCAGCTCGGTGGCACAGTGGATAGAGCTCTGGCCTTGGAGTCAGAAGGACCCAAGTTCAAATCTAGTCTCAGACATATGTCACTTACTAGCTGTGTGACCCTGGGCAAATCACTTAACCCCGATTGCCTCACCAAACAAAAAAAAAAAGCAAAAAATAAATCTTCACAGGGCAGCTAGCTGGCACAGTGGATAGAGTACCGGCCCTGGAGTCAGGAGGACCTGAGTTCAAATGCGGCCTCAGACCAAACACTTGACACTTACTAGCTGTGTGACCCTGGGCAAGTCACTTAACCCCAATTGCCTTAAAAAAAAAAATGGGAACAGCATCTACCTCACAGGGTGGTTGTAAGTATCAAATAAGGTCATGTGTGTATAACCTTAAAGTCAGGATACGAGTGTCAGCTAATGATTTATTGGTTTGCTTACTATTAGATACTGTTCCAAACTTTATTCCTTTTCCCACGCAGTCCATTCCCCGGGTCACTGTCCAGGTCACATGACTCCTCTTTAAGTCTTCTCTCCCTCTGCAGCAAACCTTATCACCTCTTTCTTCCCCTGTTGACTGGTTTCCTCACTCCCACTCCAGTCTTTACACCTACCTTGGGCCTCTGTCAAATGACTGATCTCTTCTGTTCTTGCCACCTCTGAATTTCTTTCAACATGTGCCCCTCCCTCTAGAATAATAGCTCTCTTATCTCTCCCTGTCTCTCCTTCCTTCTCTCTCCTTCTCTCTTACTTTCTTCTTCTTCTTCTCTTTACCTCTCCTCCCTACTTCTCTGTCTCTCTCTTTCTGTGTGTGTCTCTCTTTGCCTCTTTCTCTCTATCTCTGTGTCTGTGTGTGTGTGTGTGTCCCTCTCCCTGCTTCCCAGCTTTTAAGGCCCTTCTCTTCTTCTCTTCTGAATGGCCCCTGGAAAACTAGTATGATGATAGACTTAGAGATGCAGGTGAGCTTAGAGATCATCCTTTCCAAACCCCATATTTTACAGGAGAGGAAACTGGGATGGAATGGAACTTGGCCAAGGTGACATGGCTAGTGATCAGCAGAGCTCAGCATAGATGATAGATTTAGACCTGGGTGGAACCTTAGAAGTCCAGCATCCCTCATTTTACAGATGAAGAAACTGAGATTTAGGCTTTATGTAAGGAAGAGCTTCCTAACAATTTGAGCTGTCCTAAAGCAGTATGGGCTGCACTGAGAGGCTGTGGATTCCCTCTCAATGGAGGCCTTCGGACAGAGGCTGGAAAGCTACTTATCTGAGATGCCATGGAGGGAATTCTTGGTCAGATTCAGCTTAGACTAATTGACTTCATCCCTGAACTGAAATTGCTCTCTCCGAAGTTACCAAAGATTTCTCAATAGCCAAATGCGATGGTCTTTTCTCAATAATAGTAAGTATCATTTTTATATAAGGCTTTACAAATACCATCTCATTGAATCCTCATAACAACCCCTTGAGGTAGATGAGAATTTGTGTCCCTATCCTATCTTGCTTAAAAGTCTATTAGCTTGCTGAGGATAGAGACCTGCCTTAATTCTCTTACTAAACTGCCAGCTCCCTGAACACAGAGACTTGTATCACCTCTCCTGCGAGCCTGTCTGCTCTCCGAGGGCAACACCGTGCGAGACATTAGGGATTCAAAGACAAAACAAAATGGTCACTACCCTCTGGGATCTTACAGGCTATTCTTCTGCCTCCAAATCGTACCCTTATATTCACTCCTAGCAAACTATTTTTTCTAAGGGCGATTAAGGGCTGTGCAAGTCTGGTCTGACCTCTATCTAAGAGCGAACTGGAAGGATACTCAGCCTCAGTGACTATGCACTAAAAGAGCATGCCCTTGTCAAGGAGAGGCTTTCAAACCATTGTACCTTGGTAGATGAAAGCAGAATCTGACAAATGGCTCTGGAGAGCTATAATCCAGCAAATGCTAAAAGAGAGCAACTCAGTGACCATGAGACGTTTAGAGACCTCCAGCAGAGATGACGTAATACCGAGTAGAAATGCAATGCCCGGTAGAAGTGACGACCAACAGAAATCAAAGACTTTACACTCGGCTGAGAGAGATCCCTGCATGAACAACCTCTGCTTCTAAAGAGGTTTCCCGGTCACGTGTTTCTCTCCCTGTGTGTGCTTTTCACCACTAGTGGTATGGAAACACATGAGAGAGTATGTTCCATGTTTTAGGTCAAGTTTGATTTAGGCTGGTCTGACTTCAGATTCGGGACTGGAATAATCATATCCCATCTGACATACACCATCTGGGGTTTACTTAGCACTAGCGTGGGAAAAATACTCATTAAGGACGTAGCACTGATTCAGAAAGATGCAGCTCCCTCCTCTTCCTATTATCTGGTCAGCTGGGTGTATGAGGGGCGGGGGAGGGCGCAAACAGCAATGGACATCTGTCAAGGCTGAACAGCACTGACTCCTCATAGGCTGGCCTCTTTGATGCCATAACTAAACAGCCCCATCAATGGCTAGAGCCTCCACACCTTGAACCTGTATTGAACCTATATGACTTGTTCAATAGAAACACCTTGAAAAAGTACCCAGCCTGAACAGCAGTAATCCTGATAGATATTGCTCCTACCTGATGGTATGTCTTTTCTTGTCGCTTTTTTTCAGGCCAGGGAGATGGAAGTCAAATATGACCTCAGACATTTACTAGCCACTTTACCCTGAGCAAGTCTGGGTAAGATATCTTGACTTACCCTTTGTCTACCTCAGTTTTCTTGTCTATAAAATAAGTAGAATAGTAGCACCACCTCCCAGGGTTGTTGTGAGGATTAAATGAGACAATATAGCCAAAGCACTTTGCCAGCCTTAAAGTACTATATAAATGCTAGCTGTTATTATGATCGTTATTATTTTAGACATCCATCAAATGGCATTCATTGAGTGCCTGCTGTTGCCAGGCACTAGAAATAAAAAGACAAAAATGAAACAGTGCCTGTCTTCAAGAAGTTTACATTCTATTGAAGGAAACCATATGTACAACATATACACATTAGAAATGCATGTAAAATAACCATATACACACCATTCAATAGAAACATACATACAAAATAAACAGTTGGAGGGGCAATCAGGGAAGGCCTCCTATAGGAGGTGGTTTTGAGCTGAGTTTAATAGGAAACTAGGAATTCTCCTATGGAAACAAATACTTTCCATTTAGCTAAAGTCTGTCAGAGAAATTGAAAGCAATTTGCTAGGAAGGAATTTCAATCCTGCTGCATTTCCCTGGCTAAACAGAAAACTCTCTGCCCAAATACATTTCTAATGCACATTTATAGTGATTGGGAAAGAGAAGATGATGAAATTCAGCCACAACATAAAGGACGAAAGGACAGTTAGGGTTTTGTAATATTTAATCTAAAGGGAACAATAGTAGAGGCCCCCTTAGAAAGACCTTGTCAAGGGTTCTGACTTCTCAGGGGATTAAGAACACTCTCAAATTCGAATCAGGTCAGGGCATCTAGGTGGTGCAGTAGATAGAGCACTGGCCCTGGAGTCAGGAGGACCTGAGTTCAAATCCGACCTTAGACACTTGACACTTACCAGCTGTGTGACCCTGGGCAAGTCACTTAACCCCAATTGTCTCACCAAAAAAAAAAAATTCAAATGAGGTCAGCTATTCAAGTGTGACCAATCACACTAATCCTTCATTGTGGCAACAAGATGGAGGCCTAAGGGTGGTAGTCTTCCCCACTAAGAAGCAAGGGTGATGAGGGGCTGCTTTTCTGGCTTAGGGGAAGGCCTAAGCCTAAGGTTCCTCACCTTTTTTGTGTTGTAGACTCTTCAAGAGGTCAGGCTGGTGAAGCCTAGGGACCCCTTCTTAAAATCATGTTTAAAAATCCATAAAATAAATCACATAGGGGTTGAGAGGAAGAGGACAAGCATGTATTATTGTTTTTGAGTCCTTTCAGTCGTGTCTGACTCTTTGTGGCCCCATCTGGGGTTTTCTTAACAAAGATACTTGAGTGGTTTGCCATTTCCTTCTCCAGCTCATTTTACAGATGAGGAAACTGAGGCCAGCAGGGTGAAGTGACTTGCTCAAGGTCATACAGTTATTAAGTGTCTGAAGCTAGATTTTAACTCAGGAAAATGAGTCTTTCTGACTCTATCCACTGGGTGACCTAGCTATGCCCCCCCCCAACATTTATTAAGCACCTACTATTTGCCAGGGACTATACTAATTGCTTTTGACAACAACTCTGGGAAGTAGGTGCTATTATTATCCCCATTTTACCCAGAGTCACACAGTTACTGTTTCTGAGTATTGAACTCAGGTCTTCGTGACTTCATATGTAACGCTCTATCCACTGTGCCACCTAGCTGCCCAACAGGATAATCTAGCTGGATGACACAAGTAACCAATTATATTAAAATACAACTATCAAAATAGTTTTAATTTTGTAATTATTTTTTCAATCCACCTTATCCCTCCCACTCCTTCCCCTCCCCCTCACCACATTGAGAAATAAAGACAAAACCCTGTTGTAAACATGTATTGTCAAGCAAAACAAATTCCTTTGTTGACCTTGTTTAAAAAAAAAATCTCATTATGCACTCTGAGTCCATTGCTTTTCTATTAAGAGGTAAGCAGCCTGCTTCATCATGAGTCCTCTGGTTAAGTCATTACATTGATTAGAATTCAAAGTTGTTTGTCTTCACAATATTGGTGTCATGGTAGAAATTATTCTCTTGGTTCTGCTCACTTCACTTTGGATCATTTCATATAAGTCCTCCTAGGTTTCTCTGAAACCGTCCTCTTCATCATTTCTTACAACACAGTAGTATTCCATCACATTCATATCCTATCACTTGTTCAGTCATTCCTCAATTAACAGGCACCCCCTCAGTCTCTAATTCTTTGCTACCACGTTGGGGGGAGGCAGGGAACAGTTATCAAAATAAAATTTTTTTAAAGTTCATAGATCCCGTGTTAAGAAGCCCTGGTTCCAAGGAAAGTTATAGAAAAAGGAAATGACCTATTCCATGTAAAGAACAGCAGGGCCCATTTAGCTTGACCAGAGTACATGGAAAGCAGTAAAGAATAAGATTGGGCAAGCAGGTTGGAGGTGTGGGGTGAATGGTTTTAAATGCTCAACAGAGTTTCTATTGGCTTTTAGAATTCTAGAGATTCTATTGGATTGTGGGAAGCCAATAGCATTTGTTGACTAAGGGACAGCTAAGCAGAGGATGGATTAGTGTGAAGATGAATTAGGAGGCTGGAATACTCTGATATTGTAATATACAGCTAGGTCTTTATTAGCGGGAATAAGAAATGTCCTGAAGAGGTTACTTGTATTCAGATTTGTACTATAAGAAGCATAATTATATCAATTGTGGTCATTGATTGGAGCCCAATGGAAACATAGGGTACAAATTCCGCTTCAGGATATTTGTTATTTGTAGGTACCAGTGTGGTCCAGACTGGAAGTGAGGAGGAGCTGAACTAGGGTGGTAGCTGTGAGAATGGAGAGAAAGGGACAAATGAAAGAGAATTCCTGGGGTAGAACTGACAAGAATCAGCAACTGATTGGATTCGGGAGGGAGGGAGATTGAGAGAGGAGTCAAGCATGTCACCAAGGTGGTGAACCTGGATGACCCTTCCACTTACCTGAGCTCACAGAGACCTGGCTCTCTCCACAGCCCTGGCCACCCCTGCCAGCACTAGGCACTCCTTCTTTCCAGGCTCCCGACCTCCTACTGGGCCAGGACTGAGTCAGACAGCTCCTTGATCTACATTCCTGGTCCGGCCCCTCCCTCTGTTGACATCACTCAGCCACCTCTCCCATAAGGTTCCCAGGTCTGAGTCCTCCTTGGGCTCCCAGCCTCCTTTCATAAGCAGTTCATTATCTGATTCATGGACTTTCTCTCCACCCCTACCCCTGCCCCCAGACTTAGGGATTTGACCATAAGGTGATGCCCTTCCAAACACCCTGGCCTCCTACTTTATCAGTGTCCTCAGCTTCCCAGACCTGGATCTTCACCCTGCCTCAGATACCTACAGGGATGATCAGACTTTGGCTCTGGCCACTATCCATAATTATGTCATTTCCATGATACAAAACTGCAATTACCCTCTTTGGTCATGATTTCCTGTCTTGCCATCTCTTCTGCCTCACTCCTATTCTTCATCCTGACTGTACCTTTTTATCCTCTTTTTATTCATCAGCCTATCACGCTTGATTTGGCCTCAGCCCCTCACTCCCTCCCATACCCTTGGGCATGTGGGATGGAGGGGCCTTTCCCTTTGACTCCGAAGTAGAAGCAGATATTCTAGGACTCCTTCCTATCTGCCATGAGGACACTTTTAACTTGCTGCTGAGATACACTAAAAATGCAACCTCTGCCCTTCAGGCCTCTCCTTTCTATGTCCTGGATGTGTAAGAACTGCTTTCTGAGCTCCTGAGGGCCAGTGGGGAATGCTCTGTGAGCACGTGGCCCCTTAGGAAAGCATGTGTCTAGGATGGAGCACCTTCTGTTCAGTGCGGAGGCCTTGTGAGATCTCAAAAGGCACCCTCGAAGCATGATATGACCTAATTGGGTGGTTGTGGCAGCAGAAACTTGCAGCAGCTGAGGCAGAGACCCCCCCCTCCCCCAGGGAGAGTCACCCACAGAGAAAAGAGACCACCCAAAGAAAAAAGCCCCCTAGGCACTGGCAGGCTGTTCTCAGTGGAGGGGACGTGGAAAAGAAACAATCAACAACCCTATTAAAAAGCTGCCAATGAGATTTGTGCACTAACCAGCCTCTCAATGATTGGGATCATTCTGTGATTCGTTATATCTTCCTGTCCCCTTTCTTTGTGGGAAGAAAACTGCCTATTCTATACCCGCTTCACATTTGTACTTAGTATGCCTTCTCATTTCCTCTCTCCTGATAAGGAAGACCAGACCCCTCAGACCAGAGCCAGAAACAGAATGGTCCCTCAGGAGGTGGAAGCCTGGTATTCCTAATGAGGAGGCAGGCGGCACCTGGGTAAACTTCAAAGGCAGGTAAAAGACGAGAACTGGCAAAATTCACCAGCTCCCATGGCTTCAGCCTAGGGGAGACTGGACAGCTGCTGTGCCAGGTTATTATACATTGTGTTTGGGTCCAAAGCTGGAACAAAAGAAGACACTAGCAGGTCATTCAACAGCTGGCTAAAGGAGACTTCCTTAGCTGTAGAGAGGGAAGGATATGCAACAAGGATGTATATCAAGACACTCTGCATTGATTCAGTCGGACTTAGCTCTCCTGCTCTGAGTTGCCCGTAGTGTTCTAGATGAATGTTCATTTTATTCTGCAGGCAATAGGGAGCCACTGAAAACTTTGTAGTGGAGGAGTGATATGACAAGATGTATGTGTGATAAAATAATCAACTCTTCTTCCCTTCTTCCCTTCTCTAGGTATACTATAGGCTGAGAGTGGCTGCCTGAGGCCATTTTGTCTCTGGGGCCATCCAGCTGGCCCCAAAGGGAATCCTGGGGCAAGAGGGACACTGGGGAAAAACTTGGGGTGTTTTGTCAAGCTTCTAGTACTGTGAGAAATGCTGACCTGGGTTGGATACTGTGGCCAGTTCGACCAAACTGGACTCCTCACCATGGCCCAAAGTCAATACGAGTCTGAAATACCCTCACTCCTTACATCCGACTCTCAGAATCCTTTTCTTCCTTCAAGGTCCATCTCAGGGGCCAGGAAAGGTGCAGCCTTTCCTCATTACCTCTTCCCCAATTATGAGTATATTTTCCTTCTTTATTGTCCTTATTAGTTAGGCTTTGTTGTTGCTGTTGAGTCGTTTCAGTAGTGTCCGACTTTCCTGACCCCATTTGAGGTTTTCTTGGCAAAGATATTGGAGTGGTTTGCCATTTCCTTCTCCAGCTCATTTGACAGATGAAGAAACTGAGGCAAATGGGGTTAAGTGACTTGCCTTGGGTCACACAGCTAGTAAGTGATCTGAGACTGGATTTGAACTCAGGTCCTCCTGGCTCCAGGGCCAGTGCTCTATCTACTCCACCACCTAGCTGTCCCATAAGTCACATCTCTTGGTAGAATGTGAGCTCTTGGAGGATAGTGAAGTTTTGTTTGCATTTTTGTTTCCTCAGCATGTTGTACATAGTAGGTGCTTAATAAATGACGATTGCATTGAATTGAATTCATTCATTCAGCTAATATTTATTATGTATCTACTGTCATGTATGATGAAAAGCTCTAGACACCCTTTCTAGTGGACAGAGTCACAAAAGAACGGGTGCACAGCTCTTAGGATAGATCTGTAGGCCATGCCTACATACCACTCAGCGGCAGCTAAGTGAGGCAATGCATAGAGCAGTGGACCTGTAGTCCTGAGGAAGACCTGGGCTCGGAGTGGAGATATTGTCTGGAACTGCATTGGAGATCATTGGATCATAAGGGACCTCAGAGGGCACTGAGTCCAACACGGTCAGTCTGGCTGAGGGAGAAATTCAAACCCAGGTCTTCCTAACTCTAACTCAGCACACAATCCACCATACCACCTGCCTCTCTGTCTCTCGCTAGGTCAGGTGAATTCTCAAACAGGCCCCTCTGCAGGACAGGTCCCAACTCCTGGTTGCCATGGAGATCAGCACACAGAGAAGCACCCAGAGGACACAGGAGGAATTGTTACCATCTGGTGGGAGATGTGGAGAGAGAGTAGGTACATGCTAGTGATGTCTGAGAGGTCACTTATGCCTGCTGCGAGCCCTTTTCATTGCATAATCAGAGGGTATTTACTGAGGCTGCTGAGGCCTTTGGCACAGAGCTGCTGGTTGGCAAATAGTAGCATTTTCCGTGATCTCTGATAAGAGCTCCATTTGTTTTCTTTGACCTGTAAATAAACTTTTTCTTCCTTGAGCTCAGTGAGCCGTGTACTTTGCTAGGGGGTGTTGGCGACAACATACTGAGCAGTGTAAAACAGTGAACTTACTAGATTCCCACGCTTGAGATGGGTGAACTCTCCCAGAGTACCGCTGAGCCCTTTGTGTCCTCTGAGAACCTCGACAAGATGAGTAATTTGGCAACCTGGCAATTGATCGATCAATGAGCTTCGGTGCCATGCCCTGTTCTAGGTGAGGAAGATAGAAAGACAAGCATGAAACAGTCCGAAGCCTCAAGAAGCTTACATTCCATGGGTGGAGCCCATGTGTACGTAAGTAATTATATGAGAAATAAGTACAAGGTATTGATAGGACAGAGGACAGCGGTAGCTGGAGGGACCAGAGATGTCTTTCCCTACGGAAGCTGGTGTCTGATGTGAGTCTTGAAGGAGCTAGGGATTTGAAGAGGCAGAAAAGAGGAACACATTCTAGCCATGGGGGGCAGCGTGGGGAGCCACTGTAAGCTTTGTAAAGAATGGATTGGAAGGGCACTTATTACAATAGTCCAGATGGATGGTCATGGGGGCCTGAACTACTGTGGTGTTGTGGGAATAGAGGACAGGGATTCAGGAAATGCTGCAGAGAGGTCGCTTGGGGGGAAAAGTTTGTGACAGGGAAGGAGAGACATGCCAGCACTGGCTGGATATGCACCCTAGATTTTTTTTTCTTTTTGGTGAGACAGTCGGGATTAAGTGACTTGACCAGGGTCACACAGCTAGTAAGTGTCAAGTGTCTGAGGCCGGATTTGAACTCAAGTCCTCCTAACTCTAAGGCCGGAGCTCTATCCACTGCGCCACCAAGCTGCCCCTGCACCCTAGATTTTGGGAGAGTACATTTCAAAGGATTCAGAGAAAGGATAAATGGGATCCCATGGCCTAAAAATCTGCAGGGAAAGTCAGCCCAGGAGGGATAAGACATCCTCAAAAATGAAATTCTAAAGAAATAAAAGAATGTGACTCTGATGAGAAGGATAATAAAGGATTTGTCTAAAGGTACCAGTGTGGATGTATAGAGAATTCACCAACCAAACTCAAAAGACACATTAGGAAGATGAAAATAAGGGCAGGTAATGGGGAATAACTATAAAATGAAGGAACTTTCTGTAAGAATGGTGTCAGGAGTGCTAAAATCCAAAGTAAACCAGGGCTGGCAAGGAAGCCCAGGACAATAAGAGATTGAGTTTTTTTGTTTTTTTAGTCAAACTGATGAGAACATGAGCATCAAATATGGGATAGAACCAGAGAAACTAGTTTGGGAGAGGCGAGGTTGGAGTGATAAGAACTGATGACAAAGTGAAAGCAGAGCTCCCGGATTCTTTTATTTCCTTTTTCTCAGGCAAGGTGAAGGACTTTTCACCGGGAAACAACAGAAATATGGCTAAGGAGACTGGGAGATAGTAAGAGATGGCTAGTTAAATTCAAGTCACCCTTCCAGATCGAAAGTCAATTGATCAATCAATCAAAAACATTGATTAAGCACCTACTATGTACACTACAGCTAAGTGCTGGGGATTCAAAAAAGGGCAAAAGACAGTCCCTGCCCTTGAGGAACTTACTATCTAATGGGGAAGATGGCATGCAAACAAACAAATACAAAGCAAGCTATATACAGGATAAATAGGAAATAATTAACAGAGGGAAAGCACCAGAATTAAGAAGGAAGGCTTCCTGTAGAAGGTGAGATTTTATCTGAGACTTAAAGGAAGCCAGGGAGGTCAGCAGTCAAGCGGAGGAGGTGCTGAAAGAAGGAGCAGGTGTGAATGATGAGCCAATGTCAGCAATCTCTGAAGAACCGGTATGGAGAATGACAAGTGTTGGAGAATGAAGAC